GTTAAAATACGCAAGTGCATTCAATGGAAAAAGAGAGCCGAGCCGACCTTCCCTAGACTCCTCCTCCTTTGTGCCATGACATCTATAACTGGCACACACAATGTGACATTGCTCTGCTGCTCTCCACTATAAAAGAGGGCAAACAAACACAATCAACTTCCACAACACAGGAAATTAATCAGAACTTACCTTTTGCAGACTAGTTGGATTTAACTGTGTTTTATCGATTATTTTTATTGCCACCTGCAAAAGAAACACAACACAGTTTAGGAGATCTTATTCTGGCTGGCTACTGCACCCACCCACTGCTTGCTGTTCCCTCCTACCAGCGTGGAGGAGAGAGCTAGGGGTGTTCTAGCAAAGTTTGTGACTAGGTTGGAATGTCATGTCATCACATTCTCAAACAATTCACCCCCACACAGCTACCTCCTCATGTATCACTTCCCCCTCCCTTTTAGATTGTATGCTCTCACGGGCAGGGCCCTCCTTACCATCTTGTCTTGAAATGTATTGTGATTGTAATGTCTTCCTTATATTGTCATGCGCTGCGCAAACTGTTGGTGCTATATAAATCATGTATAATAATAATAATAATAATAATAAATAAGTGTGTGAACGCACTCACAAAGTCGGATAGAAGTGATACTTCAGGACCAATCAGCTGTTCCAGGGCAGATCGGTTCTCCTGCACATACAGGGCAGATCGGCATCGCAGATTGTAACAGCTGAGAAAGCGTTGGACTGCTTGACCTATTGGCGGTCACACATTCCACCGCCGAAAAACTGGGCGGGATTACGTTAAAATGTGTGACCACGACAACGTAGTCACAAACTTTGACAGAACAAGGAGAACCAACTAATCAATAATGAGAATAGTTGACAACTTTTTAACTCTTTAACTCTTTTTAAAATCCATGGTCACATTTTCCTGGTTCCGGATTTAGTGGAGGTTAGAGTCTAGTCTTACTTGCGGTCTATACTTGGAAGATCTCCCACTACTTCTGTCTCAATGACACGACAGGAAGCAAGAAAATCTCAATAGAGAGAGGTTCTAACTTATTCTAATACAAGTCCTCTCTGAGGTCCCATTGGAGACATTACCCTTCACTTCCTGCCCAGTTGACAAAAAAAAGCAATAGTAAATATCCCCAACAGGTAGGTAGCAATAAACACCTGAAAGAGGTTTTAATCCACTCAACCCCCATTACAAAATATAACAAAGCCCAGTCCAGTCTTCAGTGATCAGTGCAGGCGAACCTGGAATACAATCAGGCAGAGATTTGGGTAAACAAGTCTCTCCTGAAAGCGAACGACGTTTCCTGGGAATGTAACTAGATATCAGAACAATTAGCAGGGCACACAATGACATTTCCCAGAACAGAGTGTTATTGAGGTGTTATTGAAGGCAAAGGAGAGCCAAAGTACAGGGAATGAAAGGGAAACACGGCTGCGTGTTCAGTCAATTCACATTCGATGGGATTATAATGAAGCGAGAGTAAAGCCAGATGCGACTATTACTTGCCATGACAGAATTATACAATTGTATTCCTTATACAGATGGGTACTTTCTAGTGGCCTTCTACAGATCAGACAGTGCAATCAGCATCATTGCTGACTACTAAAAGATATTCAAACTGATGTTTAAACTAGAGCTCTAGTCAAAACTTTTTTGGGGGGGATAGAGGGGGAAGATTGTGACCCTTACATGTTAGGATGACACCCCCGGTTCCTGCTCTTGGTGACCACATAGAAACTGAGGGTATTCTTCATAAGGCCCCATTCACACCATGGCGGATGTGTTTCAGTGCGGTTTCAGCACACATTTTATAAGGGCGGTTTTGGGTATTTTTAATTTGCGTTGGGAACAAAAAAAAAAAAAAAAACACTTGAAAGATGCTCCCATTCCCCCACAGGTAAAATTTCACCCAGTGGTCCACTTTAAGTCACTAGGAGAGTACCATTCTACGAAAGCCTTTTGACAGAGCCCTGACTCTTTAAGGCTAGGTTCACACTAGGGCGATCCGTGGCCGCACGTTCACGGAATCGCACACCAATCGCGCTGGCGGTGCCATTTTCTAAAATGGCACCCCCATCGCGCCAGGAAGATTGTGCGGTTTCCTGCCATGATACCGCCTGTGCAATTACGCACGAACATGGTTCAAAAAAATCGTGCGGTGCGTGTCACAAAAAGAGGTACCGTACATTTTGGGGAAAACATTTTTTTTTTCCCTACGTTATGTTAAAAAACATGTATTCTTACCCATATTTTTGGTAAAATATAAAAGATTGGGTCACGTCGGGTAAATAGACACCAAACATGTCAAGCCTTAAAATTGCGCAAGCTCGCAAAAACTACAAAACCGAAAATTGGCCATAGGCGACGCTTAAAATGCTTTTATCGCTCATCGGTTTAGTGTTATCAGTGATTGATGGCCCTCAAATTATTGCTCTCACACTGACGTTCGCGGTGATATGCAAAGTGTGCGGCACAATAGGCACAATCATTGTTTTTGAACGTAGGCGTACCCGACGCATGTTTGCGTGTGTATGTGGAGGGTGAGGTTTTGTTTTTGTTTTTTTACACTTAACTTTATTGCTATCAAATGGGAGGCTAAGACACCCCCTGTGTAATAGCCAATTTACACAGACAGGTCCTCTTTATGGAGACATCAGGGGTCTCCAAGACCAATGTCACCTAGGGACCCCCAGAGAAGCTGATGAAGCAGAGATCTGTTTCACCAGCTTCTCCCCAGCTTCTGAAGCTGGAGAGTGACAGCAGAATGCGCAGGCGATTTAATATACATCACTTCCTGCATTCTGGGACCGAAGAGGAGCTCAGAGGAGTTACAGAGCAGCCGTGCCAGTCTCGGCCATGGCGGATCTCGGGACCGGCAGTGAGAGCTGCTGCTAATACAAGCAATCGGGAGTCTCTAGAGACGCCCGAACGCTTTATGTAAAAGGTCCCGGACGGTCGTTTAATTACAACGGCCGGCAAGCTACTCGTCCGGCTCCGCCGTGATGAGAGGACGAGCAGATTTTTCAAAACCTGCACATGTGTTATATATTTTAG